CTGCGAGATCAAACGGTATAAAAAGGCAATATTAAAAAATATAGAATCAAATACCAAGGTAAAACTTTTGTCAAAAAAACAAAGCACCAAAAATATATATACAAAATATTAAGGAACAAGCGTTATCAAAAAAACAAATAAAATACATCAATGCAAATTTAAGAGTATTAGATCTAAATTATATTTTTTTTTAGTTTTTAGAAAACAGACTTAAAATGTATCTATAAATCTTAAGATAACATCAAGCATGTTTAGCCCAGTTATAATAACTTTATCTGGATCAAGCACGTTTAATATTATCTCATAATAGTTATCAAGACATAAATCACTCTTAAGTTAACAACTTTCGAGAACGCCATCTGTTTTCTCGGTGTACATATTCGTATGGGCCAGGGACCAGACCACATGCTAAACGAATGTTGACAAACAATTATTATTTTATTATTATTTGTTTGTCTGTTGTCTGAAAGTGCCCTCTCAGCACCTCTCCCTATCGCTATCCCTATGTAGTTGCTAGTGCTGCTGCTGCTCTGGTTCAGAACGTCTATCTATCAGTCTGACAGTTAGTTTGCACGACTTTCACAGATACCCACACTCGCGTATGGAATCGCTCACACAGATACTTTTTACACTCACATGTCAGTTGTCGTCAGACCGTCTGCCTGGTATTTTTTTTCACCGCCCCCCGCGTTTGTTTACTTTGTCTAACTGCTATTTGTAATACTATTCATGTTCTGTTGTTGATTATTTTATTATTACTTTTTTTCCAGTCCCTGTTTGTGCAGAAATCTTCACATGCAACATATTTTTCGACCTAAAATTAACTAAAACAAACATAGAGAGTGCTAAAAGCAGACTTTGACAGTTGAATATCAAGCGATAAAATATTTTCCACATTTTTTCCCTTTTTTTGCCGCCCGTAATTGTGGCGAAATATTTAATGAAGTTCTCTGGGCTGTCGGCCTGATTGCTTTGGATTAAATGGCTGTCAGTTGGTCGAGTGACAAGCTGGAAAGAGAACTTGGAGTATCATAAAATACATTTTCGCAAAGGCATCTAAGTAAAGTAATTAAAATGATTTTTAGTAAGAACAATCAGAAGAGCTTTAAAATTATCGATATTTTCGATATTTTAACAATATTGATTCGATAATATAGATGTTTTGATTTTTTCAAGCTCTATCAGAACTACCACAAAATAAATAAAATAGAAATATTATAAGTTTTAATACTGAATTTTATATCAGTCAAATACCAAAACAAAGTCGCATATAAAATGTATCTTCCCGATCGAATCGCTACATATTTCCCCATTAAGATGCGTGGCACACAGTTTCCCCTAACTGTATCTTCCATATCTGATCCATATTTCCCCACGAATTTTCTCCGTATCTGCGAGAACATTTCTATGCGCTGGCACACAGTTATCCAGCTGAAGCATTACTAATAACTTAATTCGATTCGAGGAAATGGGCTGCGAGTATGGGCGAGTATTCTCATCTACATTGGGGCGTATCTAAGCACAGAAATCTAAAGCTTAATGGCTCATTAAAGCGAGAAGAACTGAGCGGGCGTTTTTCCCTCCTTTTTATTACGAATTTATTGTTGGTGGTAATATGAATAAAAATGAAAACCCAAATGCGAGTGTATCTGTGAGGCTGCTAATTATGCATGCCGCATATATGCGTTTGCATTAGAAAAACGGCAGCAACAGGCTGCTTATGCAATGCAATGCAAACCGACAAGGAGAAAAAAATAAAGTACAAAACAACAGCGAAAAATTATAATAATAATGCAGCGGCAACAAAATCATGAAGGGGAGGCAGGAAAAAATAAAATAAAAAAGAAAAATAGAGATACAAATACGAGAGCGTTGCAATAATGGCAAACGAACCGAGGCACGCAGTTGGCCTACGAAATGAGCATTTCACATCGTGTGAATTTTAATTAAAGCACCACCGCCAGCGCAGCAGAAAAAGTTAGACGCACTAAGTCAGCGAGCTTACTGCTTAATTAAATGCAACATATGCCGCTAATTAAATTTATGTGCCCGTCGCAAACTTTGATTATCAAAAATTATTTATGCAAAATCTCTGACAGGAAATACCTGCAACTGGCAACCTGCAACTAGCAACCTGCAACCTGCAACCAGCAACTAGCAACCTGCAACAGGCGATGCATGGCCTGATAAGCCCAACAGCGGCATGAGGAACATAAACAACATCAACTGCACACAGTAGCAACAAAGCCTGGCTTAATTTAATTGTACATAGTTTTTGGTTGCATTGTTAATTATGCTGCAGCGTTGTGGTTGCTTTGATTTAATGAGCGAGTGCTGGTTAATTTACTGAGAGAGCCAATCAAGTGATAATATCAATTAAAAAGGGGAATTAACCATTGATTTTCGCAGATAAAAGATAAATAAATCTGCAATTTAAGTCTGATTAAATTAGTGGTAATTAATTTAAAGTTTTGGTGTTTATAGATTTATTTAATTTTTAAGCTTATAAATTTAAACTTAATTACTATCAAATAAATATTAAAACCAGCCCTATATATTTCATATTTTATTTAGTAACTTAATTTTGGTTCCTATGATATGTTGAGAAATTAAAAAAAAGGGTTCGGAAAAATAAGATCTTTCCCATTTTGTGCCCACAAAAAAATAGATTTCAATTCGAATCGATAATGCTATTACTCAATTCCTGAATGAACTGCAATGACACTTTCTATGAATGACAAACAACTTTCTGTGCGATTTGCATTTGTGCAATGCATCAGCTGTACTATTTATACGCAGATATATCTAGAAATATATGTATAGAGCCGAGGTGTTGGTAAAAACAATGTGTGGCAAACACTTGCACTATGCGCATAATCGACCAGCGAAACCTTACATATTTATTTATTGTGCCAAGGCGACTATAGTTTACTAACTCGCCGGCAAGCGAGGAAACTATGGCCATAGAGATACACTGAGTCACCCTGATGAAAATGGGTTTGCAAACGCCAAGTGAAGTGATGGGCCCATCGTCTCTTTTGCTCTCTCGCTGATGGAATTCAATTCATTAAATTTAAATTAATGTTTATTTACGCGCAATTTTACAGCGTGCCAGCGAGCCTGGCCAAAAGTATTGCCAACCGAGCATAAATTAAAATATATTACGAGCGGCAACGGCAGAAACTTCAACTTGTTTAAATTTAGCCAGTGCAAAATGCAACAACATCATTATGATCGCGATTAGCACAGATAGCTTTTTCCTCGTAATTTAATTAGTTAGCTGAGGCCAGAAATTCGATATTGTTGATGGCTTTGCATCTGACACTTGATTGACAGCAACTGGCGAAAAAACAAAAAATTAAAGCCTAATGGAGTCCACAGATTTGTTTTAAGCAAAACGGGTTTTTCTGGGAAAATCGTTGTATGCTCAAAAAGCCTGATAAGAGATCTACAAGTAAATCAATATTTTTAGTTTCTTTTTTTTGCATCAGGTACTATAATTAAGCGATTGTGCCGCGGCGATTGGAAAATTAAAAACGTTTTAACAGCGATTTCGCAGAGATAAGATTGTCTACCTAAAAATAAACTAAAACGAGCTAAACAAATGTGTAACAAGCGCGGCAACAAAACAAACAAAATTATTACAAAAACCCCGCGAGAGAGATGGGGATGATAGGACTACCATAGACTAGACTCTCTATACAGCTGTTTTGTCATTACAAATGCCAATTGCACGTAATACGTCAAATATTTTGTGAAATTATTTTTAATGAAATGTTGTGTCATTAGGCAAAAGAGGGGCGCGTCTGGTCAGCGATTAGCTTTCCCTTCTCTCTCTCTCTTTCGACCGCCCGCCGACCCATTGTTGGTTTTGTTAATTTAGCTAAAAGTCCATTAAACGCTATAGTTCTTATGGCCGATGGAACTATTAACGTAATTGTTTATTAGGCACTCGGGGACCTCTGCTTTACACCTTATGGCTTGTGGCCGAAAGGTAGAGGAGACCCATCAATAGCCGTAATTATTATGATGTGTGACATGCAGCCTGCACGGCCGGCAGTCATTATCATTATGTTCAGGGACAGTGAACTGTCCTTGATGATGATGGGGCAACCTGATTTGGCCTCCAGTAGGAAGTTGAAAATAACCAAAGGATACCGATGGGGTTCGGTCTTTAAGCCCAAAGTACAGAGATTTTTGTGAAAGTTCTAATGATTTAAGAACTTAAGTTTTGAGCTAGCAATATATGCATAAATAAATGTGAGATTAAAGCAAAACCATATTTATAGTGCACACCTATTTTTAAAGTTATTAACAACAATTATAGACGTTTCGTATAATAGCTAATAAAAGTGTTATTATTATAGATTTTTCCTTGGGTAAAATCTTATAAAAGCAAATTTACAAGGCAAATAAAATCAGCAATAAAAATTATACAATGGAAAAGTTTTTCGATCTTAAGTGTCTATTCCATCTTTTATTGCATAAAATTCCAATAGGCAGGGCTCCATAATAGAGGCTCCATAAAAGTTTACGGAACTATTGCATCGTCGGTTTATGGAGGTGCATTTGGGCTGGTTTTATGGAAGTAACCCGAGCGTTTTCCACAGGTGGAGGCGTATATCTCTACTGCGCAGTCACAGGTTCATCGACTCGCAGACAAAAAAAAGTGACCAGAAACAGATACGACCTCGAACATATCGTTTGAATCAGGGAATACAGACCCACACTCTCCATCCCATCGCCCCCCAATCGCCACTTTGGCCACTTGTCAACGCCATCAAATGGCAAAAGGCAAGGCAAAAGAAGCCAAGGAGTGAGCTCACTTTATTTTTATTGCATTTTAGCAACGCTTACTTTCGAACAATCAATTCAACTCTTCCTACCCTCTAAATGCCTCACTTTACTTAAGCAAACTGATTTTTATCATCGCTGCCGTCGCGTCGTTTTATGAGCATCATCAAAAACTAATAAAAACTCAATGCGTTCTTTATTTGCAGGCAGACGGCAGTCGGCAAAGTCGAGCCCCAAACCCCGGAGAACTGAAGACCCAAAGAACTGGAGAAACTCTGTTGAACCACAGAGGCAACATGTTGCACATGCACTCGCCAAAAGCAATTTGCATACAAATGTTGCCAACGCACTTCAAAAACTGCACAATCACAGGGGTTTTCACGGGGGGTGGGGGTGGTATGGTGCAGCGGAAAAGGGTAAAAGCCGCTTCATAATTTGATATTAAACATGCACGCGTGTCTCCTTCTCTTTTTCTCTCATGTGTGCAACTTGTAAATTTGCAAATTGCTAAAATGCAAGAGACAGGAACAAAGGGCGAGGATCTAAAAGGGGAAGAAGGAGACTTTTGGGCAGCTGCGTGAATTTGCATTTACATCAAGGAACCGCAGGACAGGAAAAGGTTCGCAAAAAGTTACCCAAAATTCAGCCTCACAAGGAAACTGAATAAAAAAGCCAAGTCTGCTCAATTGACTTTCAATTGCAAAACAAACTTAATGCACTGGGGAAAAAAACACAACCAAAAACAGTCGTTTCAAAACTTACAAAATAAAACGTAATATTTTTAAAATTAACAAAAATTACTGGAATAAAATTCTTGGTTTAAAGAACAAGTTTTTAAAATCTGGTCCGTCGAGCCGGATTTTTCCTGTGTTAACAATTTTTTAATTTTCATTTATTCATTTAATTTTTCCCAGTGCTCTTGTGAAGACAAAAGGCAAACCCAAATGAATTTATTTTCTGTTTTATTTTCAATCTGCTTTTCGTCCGTCATATGATTGACATGGTCGATTGAACAGGCGAACGAGTGAGGGAGTGGAACGATACACATATCGTTTATTTTTGGCAGCAAGTGTTTGCGTTCGGTTTGCAGTTTTGTTAATACTGCACTCGAAACTGCCCGAGACACCTCCTCGACTGGCCCAAAATGCGAGGGCTCTTGAAAACGAGATCTTCGGGGTCTTAATAAGCTGGCGCAAAATAAAAATACAAGTACATACTTTTTATATCAGATTTGTACACGCAATTATATGCACTCTTATTTGGGGTATATGTATGTGTGGCTATATAAATCATATTTATGAGACATTTCCCCTGGAGGAAAAACAGAAAAGGCAAAAAGGAATAGCATGTGAATGTTAAATGGGCACGCAATGTGCGAAAGGGACGGCACGGAAAATGCGTCACTCTCCCCATTTTCCTGACTTTTCCTTGCCGAAGTAAAACAATAATCAATAAGTAATACCCGGCCAACAACTGTGGGCGAAAGTCACCCCCGATTTATCCATATTTCCTCCCTCTCGCTCATATGTGTTACAATTTCTGTTGCCTTTTTCCCTGGGTAGTTCATAACTTTTCACTCATGTGTGTCTGTGGTGGTTTTCTTGGTTCTTGGCCAGGACTTCAGGCGTTTGACAGCCATGTTTGTCCTTCGCACACACATACTCACACATGATTGTAGGCGTCGCCTTACGGCACCCCCAAAAAAACACAAAAAAGTAGGAAAAAAGAAAAGTGTTGCGGAAAAGTGTGCCAACAACTTTTTGCCCGAAAAAAAGTTTGTCTGCTGACACAGATCGGTGTGTGAATGAGCGAGATAAGAAGAATTGGCAAATTTTCCAGACTTTACCCCTCTCTGTCGCTAGAATCATACACTTGGAAAAAACGTAGGGAAGAAAATATTCATGAGAACAGAAAAAAACTTTTTTTTGGTTGTAAATATTACAATTTTTCAAGACACACACTCACACATTATTTGTTAATCGTTTTTATGATTGTTATGATTGAAAATAAATTTCTCTTTCTAAATATTTTGTTAAGTGTAACAAACCTTTTTTGGATTGTCAATGAGTTACCGAAAAACAAATTTGAAAAATTTGGTTAGACTTTGAGTTCGTTTTTAGTTTAGGCCCATCTGATTTATTGTCATAAATTTCATTGAAATTCATGAGGCTCTTGGATGAACCTCAAAAATGTAAAAAAAAACAGGGCGTGGCCTAAATGATGTGTGTGTGTGTTGCCTCGCCTACGCAATGCCCCAAAAAAGATTTATTTCAATGGAACGAAGGAAAATTATAATATTTTCCAACTTCTATTATCGAAAGAGAAATATAAAAGAAATAAAAAGAAATACAATTCTGTGGGGAGATTATGAAAAGAGCTGTTGATGTATGAATTGTATGGGCCTCTCATAAATCTGGGGCCCTGTCAAGGTGTCCAATACGTTTTTCTTGGCCGTCTCTGTGTGTTTGTGCTCAAGTGGCAGTCATAAATTTGAAATTTATGTTCATCTCTCGTTTGGATTTCGTAGTTTTTTTTTTCCATTTACCATTTTTTCGGTTTTGGTCAAGAGAACCTGCCACAAAGCAAAGTTCTTTCTTCGCTTGTTAATTAAATGCGATTGCATCATCGCATCTTTCAGCTGTCCATCTCTATATTCACAATTGAGGTTAAAATAGTAGTAGTGTTCAAAAAGTTTTCAAAATAAAATTTAAAAAAATGATTACGATTGAAAACATATTTTTTATTATAATTTTTAATAAAATAAAAATCTGAAATTTATTTCAAAAACACCACCACTAATTTAACCTCAGCTGTGCGTATCTCTATCCCATTTTATCAAGCTATGACTGGACAGAAATTGTCGCTAATCGCTGCTCATGTACCCCAAGACATGCCGCATTTGTCTTTGTCTTTATTTTTTCGGCTTTGCCGGCTTTGACACATTTTTCTTATGAATTTTCTGTATTTTTCCCCCCTCTCACTAATTTTTCGTGGCGTGTTTGTTCTGACCGCCAAAATTGCTTGTCCGACATTTGTTGGACATGTTTTTGTACTTTGGTTCGGTTTTTTAGGAACATACGAACTACACGCAAGTGCGGAAGATTTTTAGGCAGATCCGTTAAACATCAAAATCAACTCTTTCGAGCTCATTAAACAGCCAGGGAAAAAAACGTGGAATAAAGCCAAAAGTTGACCTTCAAAAACGCAACGCAACCAAGCGAAAATGGCAAACAGAAAAAAAAACTCAAATACATAATACGAAAAATAACAAAAGTCAGGCTTGGAAACAGGTTGTTGTTTCGCTCTCTCTATTGTTAACATTTTATTACGCTTTTTTCAAGCGGAAAGCAACAAAAGCCCCCGAAACTCTTGCATTTTTACGATTATTTACGATCGAAATTCATTTCTCTGGCGATTTTTGACCTTGCAGTTGTTGCACTTAACACGTGCCAGAAATTGATAATGAAAGAGCCCGTTTTCAGGTGTTAATCACACTGCCGAGCTATAAAAAAAACATGCGAAAAAGCAGATATAGCCAGCTGAAAATAAAAGCCTAAAAAGGCGCCAAAAATAATTCAACGACGAACCGAAAAATCCACAATCTCGAGAGGTAATTCACTTAGAAGAAAACCGAATTCCATATACCCTAGGTAAAATACCAAATCGTATACATATCTGATTGAAACATTTGTATTTCTAAACTTTCTGATCTTAAGAAATTATACTTTCAAGGATTGAAAATACATCTTTCAGATAAAAAGTTAAAATTCTTTCTAGATACTCTCTATACGAAATATTCTAATCATGAATGGACGTTTGCCGCGATGATGAAGAGTTTGCCTATTGTAGATCTTTGTTTGCCATAGCTTTTCTTGCTTTTGTTGTGGGCACTTCAAAAAGTCGTGTGCGAGTTGTTTTTGTTGTTGTTGGATATAGCTTGTTTACTTTTACGGTAAATACGAAAAGCAACAACAACGACAAGGAGGACTACAAAAAACAAAAAAGCGCGCTCGTCGCGCGTATCTAGATAAATATCTGTGAAAATACACTTGAGGCCAAGCTACTGTAGATACGCACGGCGACTGCGACGTCGACTGCGAAAGGGGTAGGCACAGTGGGCTCAAATAAATAGTAAAGTTCTTAATGTTTTTTTAATACATGGTTTTTTTAATTTTTTTTAATAAATGGAAAGAGAATTTTTTCCGAAAAATTATATTCTAACGATAGTTCTTCAAAAGTTCAAAAAATAACTTTAAGTTACAGGAAAAAAAAATAAAACAATTATATTTTATCTTTTTAAAAATGTGGTAAGTGAAAGAAAAAAGCATAAAATCGGTAAATACTCTTTAATTCAGTATCCAAAACTTTTGGAGTCTCTCAATATTTTGCCCTTAGCTGTGTTGTTTTGTGGCTGCTCTTTCCAGCGGAGGCAACGACCAACAATAACAACAAGAAACAGCAACAACTAGCGATGACGACGCCAAGCAAAAACAATCGTAAACAGATCATCGAACTCCGTTGCTTTGTTGCTGCTTCTTATACCCTTAAAGAGGGTATTATAATAATAGTCAGAAATTTTGTATTTTATTTTTATAATATTTCAAAATTTTGAATTTAATTTAAAAAACAACAAGACCACTTTTATATAAAAAAGACACAGAATCTTATGCGTAACTAACGAAAAAGTAATAAAAAAACAATATTATACTATATTTTGTTCAATGAAAAATTTTAATTTTTCTTAAATTAATTCCTAATTTTTTAAACGTTTTTCAAGCGTATAGAAATGTCCGATTGTTGAAGATACCTTCTTCACTTGTTATTTGTTGTTGTTTTGCCGTTTGGCCTTGAAATGCCCCTTGAAATACATTTTTTAACGGTGTATGCCTTTTTTGGCTCAAAACTTTTTAATTGTTTCATTAATTAAAAGACGCTTTTTTCCTATTTATTTATTTTGTTGTTTTTTTTTTGGTGATATTAATTGAGTTGAAAACGCGTGCGGCGCCCACGCAGCAAGCAGCGACGTCGACGCCGGCGTCGGGTCGGCAGAGCGGCTTTCACCGCTGCTTGCGTCATGTTGGGCTACAAAGCGGCAAGGCTACAAAGCGACACCAATATGCATTCGGTGTGTTTGCATGTGTGGGTGAATGCAGCCGCCACAAGTGGGCAATTCACCACACATCACCTTTGGAAAACCACCACCAAAGAAACCCACCACGGCAGCGACGTCGACAGCAACCAACCACGAAACCGCGTGCTTTTCAGTTTGCCGTTTTAGTCGCCAAGCGATTCTAAACAAACGAGGTTGAAGGTTAAAAACGCGGATAAATTTCAAGCGCTTCTCTTTATAATAAAAAAAATACGAAATTTATCAGAACAATTTTTTTTCGAAAATTAATAAGAACCTTTGATTATTTCCCTAAAAATCCATTTACAAGTCATGTTTTTCGCGGTACAAAAGATAAAACAATCCCTTTAAGAATACGAAAAAACTGGAATTACTTGATCGGTCAGATACATTCGTTTATATCTGTGTGTGTGTGGAGTGCTGCACTTGTAGCGCTGCTTACGTGCACAAGTGAACGTCGACGCGTTTTCTAATCTGGCGATTATCGATTGATAGCGATAAGCCTCGGTCGACGCCGCCGCAAGCAGCGACTGCAATACCCACACTAAGACAAAAACCACATACACAGA